CACTTCATTAGCTCTGGAGCTACTTTTACTTGTCCTTCATTCTTCTTCAGTCGCATGTTGGATGCCTTCTGACCTGAGGGTCCCATCTTCCAGCACCATACCTTTTAGCCTTTTGTTTCTGTCCATGGGATTTTCTTGGCAAAGATACTGGAGTGGCTTGCTAGTTCCTGCTCCAGGTGAATCGCATTCACCTGACCTGTTGTGCAAAGAACTTTCCACTATGAGCTGTCTGTCTTGCATATCTATGGGTTGTCTATGGGCTATGCCTGCATGCCATAAGCCCATAGCTGCTCTGAATTATTCAAGCCCATTCGCCACGACAAGGCAGCAATCCGTGAAGGGGATTTTTTTATGAGTATCATGAAATTATAAAGACAATTTTATGCCAAAATCTTGTTATGTCAAATCTACCAACAAACTGTAGCCATTGACAATGGGTGGTATGAGAAGTGCACTTGTTATGGTTTTCTTAAAACTGCTATTCTAATTTGCACATGGTACGGTTAAATGATTTATTTTGGGGTACATTTTAGACTGTGTAATAAAAGTCACACCAGATTATATTCTTTTAGTAAATTCCCTTGAAAGTTTTTGATGAATGGAACATGATAGATAAAACCAAATTATGTCAGGAGTTGCTAGAAACCCCTTCTGTTGATACAGTTATTTGAAGATGTTTTATAAATCACAGTATTTAACTTAAAATTCATCTTTATATAAATGTAGCAATTCTTTCCATTTCTTTGCTGAATGCAGGGGTCCCCTGATTATTATAATCCCATATTATATACTGTCGTTGCCCACAGTGGCAGAGGATGTCAGCTCAGTAAATGTCTATGACAGCACTTTTGGTCGAAAGTCAAAGTACACATTTTTTTTTATTGAACTGCAGGAGTGAGCAGGATTATAGGCCTCCCAGTGTCAAGGCTTCTAAATCCAATTCATTAGGAACTATGTTGTCACTTGTATTAAAGGGACCTCTTTGGTGGTGCCTGCGGCATCATCGCAAAGCTTGTTGGATCAGAAGTCCTTCATTTATATGCACTATTTTGAATGCCTTACAATGCAGAAGTAGCATCCACTGTGTTCAGTGGATGCAGTGCCAAGGAAGTGTGTGTGTAAGATTGTGGCCTTAATGTTCTCAACGTTGTTATACTCCCTTATACTCCCTCTGACTAACATGTTTCCTACAATATTTGTAAAATGTGAAATACTCTGTATGCAGAATTATTTTCTATAATCAGTGGAGCTTTAAGAGAAGATCACAAAGGAGACTCTTGTAGCCTTTTTTGTAAGAAATAGAGGAAGGGAGGTAAAGAACATAATTTCTAGGAAATATCTGTTTTACCATGTACAAAAAAATTTCCTTGTGATGGTGACCTTTGTGTACAGATGTTGTGTTGAAATTGGAGATTTCTGTTTGACCCATGTTTATTTTCGAAATAAATATATCCATGCAATATGTGAATATTAATGTATCCATGCAGTGTGTTAATAGATTGTCTGATAATAAAGACAAAATGTTCCTTTTTTTAAAAAAAATGTGGTGGTCCTTTGAAAACCATTTTAATTAATCTATATAGTATATATTATTTGTAGCATGCTTTTAAGCATTCCAGCCTTATTTCTCTTTCCAGATTATAGGTAGGCAAGCAACAGGTAAGTCCCATATTTTTCCATGTCAGTTTATTTTTGGGGACCTATTGTGGGAAGGAAGACTCAAAAGACCCATCCAGTGTGAACTGCACAAATACACATCTCAGGTTGCTCCCATTCCCAGCAATCTCCTCTCTTTACCAGCTGGAAAACAGAACACTTGGAAACCAAGACATTCCGTATCTGCACCCAAACCTTGCTCATTGATTCCCAAATGAAATGTTCTTAGCTACAGAAGCCCTAGGTCAGTGGTCGGGGAACAGGGGTAAATTACCCCAAATGGGGTAAAAGTGAAAATCTTGGGGGGTAATGAGCAGAGTGCTACCCCTCCTACCCACCCCCACCCTCTGCAGCCAAACCTCAAATTGTAAGCCACTTCTCCCTG